AAATGTTACTTGAAATTTTTTACTGGGAGTCTCGAACGCTCTGTAATCTTGTATGGTTTTGTACCGATGATGGGCAAAGTCCCGTTTCGGTGCTTTGACCGAACTTCACCGCCGTAATAAACCTCGGTGATTTGGGGATGCATTGGACATTAATGCCTTCGAAATTACGGGGTTACTGCTTGCATGCGTACGTGTACCCTTGCCTACAGATTGGTTAGAGACAATCAAATTCAAAGAGTCGCAAACATTCGACCCCATACATAAAGGAGACCAAGAACAATCATACACGAGAGAAAGAGAAAGGAGAAATTATTTGTGAAAAAAGTGTTCAACTAATAATTGAATTGTTCATACAAAACAGTAACTGTAGTATTCGTATAGGTATTTTTTACATATACATATATTGCAAGTACCATTTACTATTCATATCTCTAAAAAACGAGCGTCAAGCAATTGCGCAACCATTTTCGAAAGAAAAAAAAAAAAAAAAAGAAATCCGGATATGTAGAATTTGAGAAAAGCTCTCGAAATTCCTCGAAAAAAATAACAGGTGATTCGTAAAAAGCGCATCTACACAATACCAGACGTTCGTCCGTTATCCGTGAAATTCTCGAGATCCATCTTTTTTGTCGAGCAGGAGCGGCCGCTGGCGGTTCTCAGCTGTGTATAATCTTGAGCTGGAACCGCCACACACGGCTCGACTCTCTTCTTTTTATCCGAATTGAGAACCCGGAAGGCGCCTGCCGTGCTCTCCACCGAGGAAAACCTGTCCGTGTCACGTAGCGACCTGCATCCGCCGACGTATCAGTACGGCCGTGTAGTGCCGTGTACCTGTGGCATCGCTTCTTCCTTCTACATCGCGATGTCTTCTCTCTCTTCATCATTTCTTCTCGGAATCAGCCGTCGCGGAGAATGCTGCCCGCCCGGACGCGCTTCGTTCTCGCGGCTGCATGCATACATCGCGCAGGAAGTTCTTTCTTCCAGATTTTGCATATTCTTTCAACTTCGACATATGCCGCTCTCAATTTCGAAGCGGGTTCTCTCGCCTTCGGAACGAATCACGCGAACGTCGCCTTCTTTTGAAGATGTCTTTCTCTGCCTCTCTTTTTTTTTCTGTGCCTTTCTCAGCTTCTACATTTTTTTTTTATTATTACGTTAATACACGAAGATTCATAGGTATTTAAAAGTCACGTAGCGAACATATCTTGGCGAAACTGTTGCCTTTTATACCTAAACTCTGAGCATAATCGTGTAAGGCGTAATATGATCTCGTAAGACTTGCAAGTGCTTACAAGTTTATGTAATGTAAAACTTACAAGTGCTTATAACGTTATGTAATATAAAAACTTACAAGTGTTTATAACTTTATGTAATATCTTTAGCTTCTTGATAGCTGTAAGATTTATGAACGATCATACGTCTTACGGTATATAAGCAGGTATATAAAGTTAGAACATCAGTTCTTACACTTTCTAAATTTCTTGAAGCGAAATCTTATTCCAAAAAAAAAAAAAAAAAAAATGAAGATCTGCCACACTTTTAATAATAGCAATATTTTAACTCTTTTGGAGTAAGATTTCACTCCAAGAAATTTAGAGAATAAGTCTGCTATTCTCAGCAGAATCGCAAAGCTCGTAACTTGTTCTCATAGTTACGAACCTTACGATTTTGCTTTATAGAATTGACTAGGGATGTGCAAGAGATTTTAGATATTTTATATATATCGATAGAGTTATTCTATTCCAATCCCAAGTTCTGAACTGGTGTACACTGGTGCGATAAGTTAGAGTAAAACAGATATAGTTTATTTCACTTTAACTTATTGCACTAATTCAGAACTATTCGAAAAAAAAAACAGACCTGATATGAATCAAAATAAGCAAAATACCAATATGGCGATATACTGATTAGAAATGATTCGATACACGAAATATTGAGAGTCTATGTTTCTCTCTCTCTCTCTCTCTCTCACACACACACACACACACACACACACACACACACATCCCTAGCTTTCGCCTCTAATTTTCCTACTTCTTTAACTGTGTGTTCCAAAATTTTCTATTAGTACTGAAAATCTATAGTGCACGTAATATAAATTATAGCCTTTCAATGCTGATAGGCTAATAATGAATTTTGGAAACACAGTGTTTATATCGAATCAATTGATACCTAATTCTAGATCCGATGTGCTAATACGGAAACTCAAGGAAACTCAAAGTTTTGATATGTAATATAAGTATCATCAATATAGCTATCAGAATCATAGTATCCCTAGAGTTGACATTCCTAAAATTGACTCATTAGTTTTCATTAGTTTCAAAGAATCCTTCTATGAGTCAATTAAATTTATTACTATATGTTTGCTGATAAATCGTAAACCATTTAGTTATAAGAAAAAAAGCTTTCAAGAAAAAATGGAACTTCTGTTAGAAAGTCTTATTATTATATTTAATTTTTTTATAAGTTTGATTCAATGTCTCGAGAAGAAAAGAAGTTTGGGCTCGTCGAAAAAGCATTCCAGCACATTTCTCATTCTTGATATTCGAAGCATGATCTGTAACAAGATCCTCAATGATTTAGCGCCATCGATTCCCAATTTCTTTGCCATCCGTTCGTCAAGGAATCGATCGGTTCCCAGAACACGACAGCGTGATACCGCCGAGACCTTGCGGCTTATTCCTGAGTCCGCAGCCCTTCCTCTCATTTCCTCGTCTTTCTCACGTTTCTCTTCCTCGTCAGCGTTGCCGCAATCTCTTCCTTCTCTCTTCTTCTCTTCCTTTCAATTCTCCTTCTTCCCATCTTTCTTCGCGTCCTCTTTTCTCTTATTTTTCTCGCTGTACCTCCTTGTGAGTTAACCGACTTAAAGTCCGATTTACACTGCAGTAAGTTACATAAAAATTTAGAAACGTCCTGGCATTTTAACAATGGCGGAGTAGAATGATGTTATTTAATAGGAAACAAATCACACATTTGCTTATAAAAAATGATATTTTTTATTGATTTTATACTATCTGTATCTATTACTTTTCCATTATATTTTTTGTTTTTCCATCTTCGGTTCTGTTATTCCTACATCAAGGCACTCATGATGGTGCGGGTGTAGCTTAAAGCGTACTCCGTGAGTTTCAAGATATACGCTGCTATTAAAGTACAATCCTACAAACAAAGCGCTCGTTTTCGAGAGTGGAGTTTGTCGAGAAAAAAATCACATCGTGCGCAAAATAAATTTATCATATTTAAACATTGTCTGAGTACGTGCGTGCGTGCATGTGTGTGAATCTTTCTCCATATAATAAAATATTATCTACAAAATATCTTTTCAAAATTCAATGGTGATTGGAACCCTACTGCAAATTTCCATGGGTTTTTTCATGGGTTTCTATAGAGGACTATAAGATTCTATAGGAGCTTATGTACAATAGTTACCTATAGTTACCTATAGGATTTGTGTAGCATGCATAGATATACGTAGAACATTCATAGGAATGCGAATAGAATAATAGGTATCCACAGGAATGTGGACAGATCCTATGTCAGATCTATATAGGATATCAGTTTGATATACAATATAATAACATGTAGGCGTACATAAGACAAAGGAGAGGTGCCTCATGGGGACTGAAATTGCCTATAGGCTATCATAGGATGATGTATGCACATCTCCTCTATCCTATGTGCACCTACATGTTCCTATATCAAAGTGTAGTATCTTATAGATCTTTAGTTCTCATGAGGCATCTATGGACACCTATATCAATTTGAGAGAATAATACGTTATTACGTATATAAATAGAGTTATAATATAATATGATCTTTCCGCGTAATTATTGAAAAATTCATTCATTAATTACGATTAAACGTTATAGAGAGAAACTCTTTCGCATCTTAAGATAAATTGACTTTAAGTTTAATTATGTCGTGAGACCCTTAATGTTTTATTATCGTAAGACTTTGTTGTTATGTAAGTGGAGTTATATATTATAGTATGCCTTTTCTCGGTAAATTTTGAAAAATCCATTTAACACTTTATGATTTAATTAATAAAAAAAAAAAAAAATAACGCTTTAAACATTCAAGCAAATTTTCAATTGTTAATTATTCCTCAAATTCGGACATGTACCGACATGTGAAGAAAGTAAAAAAAACGTTTCGGGTTATACCACTGTGTAATATCGTGTTCTTGAGAATGTCGAAAAAATATACCAGAATTTTTCCAGGTTTTTTTAAAACTCAAAATCCTTAATAATACAATTAGGCATTAGTGACTCGGTTGGACTAGAGAGTAATGGAAAAAAATAAAAAAAACGTTGAATCATAGAGAATTAAGACAAATTGATTTCAAGTTTGATTATCGTGTTTCGTCTGTACGAAATAGAGACTTTATTAATTCGTAAAAATTTAAAATTAAATTCAGGCAAGCGGATGAATTCTCAATGAATTCCTCCACGCGTTTTCCTTGTGGGCCCTTTTCTCCAAACTATCACACCCGATTGTTATTCCACGCAGGCATTAAGTTGCGTATTGCGTCGTACATCGCCACCTCTTCCCGGTCGATCGTCTCTCTGACCGATTCCCTTGCGTATGTTCTGAGGCACGTATGCACGCGTGTACGTATGTAAGTTCCTAGGGACGACCGGCGCCTTCGTTCCACCTCACCCTTCGAGTCGAGATGCCGGTTCCCTGGTGTTCACTTCTCTCTTCCTCTTCTTGCGTCTCTCTCTCTCTCTCTCTCTCTCTCTCTCTCTCTCTCTCTCTCTCTCTCTCTCTCTCTAGGGTCGACCCTTTCCTCCTCTTTCCCCGCCATGAAATCCAGTGTGCAGGCCTGCCGCTTAATGTTGCTGCTGCTGCCATCGCCATCGTGAGTCCCTCGGATAGCATTCGCCAGTCCGAACTCGACCGTCGTTCGGAGTGGATCGTTCATTCAACGCGACACTTTCCACGAATTATCGGGTACTACCGGGGCAGCGTTGGCACTCTCGGACAGTGGAAGTGTTCCGGCGCGTTGGTACCCTTCGCACGCGGCGGAGCATCCTACTTCCGGTTTATCCCAAGTGTTAACATCGCGTCGTATTCTCCCTTGCGATCTCGCGAATCGACGGATATTCTATTTGGAAAAATACAGAGTCGAAAAGGTAGAGAAGGGAGAAAGGTGGAGAAAAGGGATGCACGTGGTGTTCTGATGCTTTTAGGGGTTAGTTTTTCGCGAGGGGCCGAGGGAAAGCGCATAAACATGACTGCATGAGACCAGTCTTCGATAGAGTAAAAATCTCCGGAGACGGGAGACGCGCAGAGAGACGCAATGGATTACGGTGTTACCGCGTGCAGGCGGTAGTGCTCGTAAGCCGGGGGGTGCTCGAAGCATCTACGCGGGAGAGAAGATTCTATTTATCGCCGATCCCGCGCTTTCTCCTTCGGCTCTCCCCCGTCCGTCGACCCCCGTCTCGTCCGCCATCCGTGAGAATCGTGCGTCGCTTATGATGGATATATTTTCGAATGGATTGCTCGCGCCGAATGGATTGTCGATCAACAACGTGGAGATAGCCTCCTATCACTCGTCCTTTTGCTCGCCACCGATCACAGAAGCGTAAGTAATTGCTCCAATTCCACGCCCGATGTATTTATTTAACTGCTCGTTGTCGCAAAGATCGTACCTGCGGATCGATCGATAAATACACTTATTTCTAACGCGTAGACTTGTATCGCGATAGGAAATGAAAGGGAGAGTTTAATTGGAGATTTATTATGGCAGAAATATTAAAGAGACTAGATAAATTTATTATAGCAGAATATTTAATATTTTAATCCTCCACCGACAATGTGAGAGACTTTAAAGGCGATTTCTTTTTGTCGCGAATTTAGATAGATGAATTTAAATTCAGAAAACGTAAGTAAAATATAATTCAATTTTTATGATAGTAAAAACTCGTTAAAGCTTTCACAAGTAGGAATTTTTTCAGATTTTTACACAGTCCGGAATAATATAAAATTCTGCACTGAAATTTTTGAAAATCTAGATTGCGAATTAAGGGCGAAAATTTGATGTTGCCGACGAAGAGTTAATGATGAAAATATAGATCCGTTTTTTCTTAAAACTGCTATGTCGTTTGTATTTAAAAAATCAAGTTAGACATTTCGAAGATTTTTTAATTGAATCCTTATTCACTTCTTTGAAATTAAAGATCTTAGTAAATTTTAGTTACTCCAAACGTAATTTTTTTCCTCGTTTATCTCTGTTTTGTTACTTTTCTATATCGAGATAAATTCAATTTATAGATAAGATATAAATTTTAAGAGACGAACTTATAAAAATAAGTAAATATTGTAAGGTATTAATTATGATCTTCAACCTCTCTCTTTCTCTCTCTCTCTCTCTCTCTCTCTCTCTCTCTCTCTCTCTCTTTCAAATAATTTGCGTTATTAGAGACAAACATTATTTTTATTGTATTTAACGCTGATATTTTTATTTTTTGTATACAAAATATAATTCTGTATAAATCGCTTTTAATATATTAAATTTTATCGTTTTCTGGATTTGTCGTTATATAAATATGCACGAGATACAAACAGTAGGTTTAATATCGAGGTTTCGAAATTATTTCGTGCGCGTGTATATCGCTGTGAAGAGAATTAAGCACGATATTATGACATCAGTCCCTTGGGCCAAACATTCATTAGAGAAAACTGTCGTTGGCGATAACGTGTATGAATGTAAGGATGGAGAGAATATGCGCACCGTTCTAACAACGGAAATGAATAATATAATGATATCAAAGGATGCAATTTTATCGCAAAGGAAATTATGTGACGCTGATCTTGATGGGTACTTATTACTGTACTTTTATTAAGTTAGCGTGAGTGTTGCTACATATTAACATTTACTAAGAAATACTTGATATTAGAATTTATATTATAGTCCTATGAATTCTAATAGAGAAAAATAACGAAGATGAACTAGGTCGTCGCGATAAAAATATTATCATTGATAGAAGAATGAAGTAAACACGCGATATTTTATATCGCGTGTTTACTTCGTCTTTCTATACTATTAGCAGTATTTTTATTTTACAACAATTTTCTAAATCGGAATTGAAAAGTAATGAAAAATAATAGAAAGCTCAAACATGAGCAAAATTTTCGTTTTCGCTCGTTTTTTATTTTTCTAATACTTTTTATTATTTTTATTTTACCCCTTTAATCTGGATTATTCAATATCGCAAATTAAATTGAAAACTAAAAATTTAGTGCTTTTATTAAGTGATAAAAGATGATGTAATCTTGTATTTGTATACTTTTAATATAACTTT